TCTGCTCTGTGTTGTTTCCTCTTTCAGACCAAAACATAATCACAGCTGAGTCTGGACAGGACGTCACTCTGACATGTCGAGCTCCAAACAACAATATCTTAGTTGTAGAGTGGAGCCGAGCTGACCTGGGAGATGAAAATGTCCTGATTTATTACAATGGGAAGTTTGTTCCAGACGACCAGCATCCATCTTTTAAGAATCGGGTGGATCTGCAGGACAGACAGATGAAGGATGGAGATGTGTCTTTGATCCTGAGGGATGTGACGACTACTGATGATGGAACATACATGTGCCGTGTTTTTATAGGAGCACAGACATGGAAACTCGTCAGCATCATTAACCTGAATGTTCCTCCAGGTAAGTCTGTACAGTTCAGACACTGCTTCACTATTGTTTGACACAGTGACGTCACAAATATGAGCGCTTACTCTGCTGCCATTTTTAAAAATAAGATTGTGGCTGCAGTTTTTTGTCAGATGTCCTTTTTTAAATCAAAGCACAGAAAATTCCACCAGCAGGTAAATCCTCACTAAACCGTCACCTTTATTTTTTACTTAACCTCCTGCACATGGATTCTGTTCTGTTCTTCACTCATCACCTACCTGACAGCTGCCACCTCACACCTGTTTCTCACCTGCAGGTCAGACAGGAGGACAAGAGAAGGATGAAGACGACAAAGATGGAGGGAAGGAGGCTGGATCTGTTGGGCTGATAGTCGGTCTGTTAGTTTCTGCTGTGCTTGTTGTTTTTATTGCCATTCTTGGTTTTCTGATCTACAGAAAAAAGCATCAACCTTCAAAAGAGCATCCTGCTGATCAACACAGCAAACAGCCTCTTCAGACTTAAAAGCAATTTCATATTTGGTGTTTAAAACTGCATGGACTTGTAACTATTTCATTCACCACAACAGCCCATTATCAAACAGAAACTGACAGTTCTGTACAGTAAAAGCTTTAAATGTTAGCCTGAGCCAACTTAAGGCTTTCTGATTAAAGGTTAAAAGCAAAGTTGTCACTAAGTAAATAGAATACTGTTTATAGTCTAAGGAGCTTCGTAAGAAAAGGGAAGTATCTGGACTTCTTTAGGTTTCTTTAAGACGTTTCACCTCTCATCCAAAAAGCTTCAGTTCTAACATGACAACATAACATGACAGGTGACATTTTGGGTTGTCTAGACCAGCGGTCCCCAACCACTGGCCTCGGACCGGTACCGGTCCGTGAGTTCAGGTGTTCAGGCTCAGGTGTGAAATGTGTGGTTTTCAGGACTTTTATTGGTTTTCAGCGTTATTTTGTTATCGTTTTTATCGTTAACTCGGTTTTCCTGAGTCTTTTCACGTGTGTTATGAATAAATCTTCTTTTTTTC